AAATGGGAAAAGCCGTGCATACAATCTACTTGATGTTCCCCTCATTTTCCCTTGTAATTCAGTGGCACGGGGTGACAATTGACTCAAATGAGTCATCAAAACGATTTTGGCTTTTTCACTAGGATCTCTGGCATTTGAAGCATTACCCACCCACCCAGGGGTTCCTGTGAGCAGGTGCTGCAGCTTATGACATGTTAATCAACGGAGGTTTGCAGAAGTGAAGAGCTACATCAAAAGACAAATGTTTAATAATGAACCCAGAAAAGTTGTTCGAAGGGTAGGAATGCAGTTACATGATCGAAAGAAAAACTCCTCATCCCTGCCCCTGTCTGTGTCTCTTGACATTACCAAAGTTCTTCTGAAAATCTATTTATGTAGCTCCTTTTCTGGCTCTCACTCACCGATTAAACACGCCACTGCTCACCTGAATTGCAGCTTTTATTTGCTGAGGTTTGTCGACGTTTGTTGTAAGGCTTACAGCAGAGGGATGAGCTGGAGAGGACATGGCAGGAGGATGTCTGCGAAACAGGACATTAAACTCACAAATGTGTGTCGTTAGTTCTGATATCCAGGATTTAAAATTGTTTTCACTGATTCACTGATGAGTTTTTCCTTCTTATCTCAGCCCCTGGCTATTTAGCGTGGGGTGCGTTAGCAAAGTAAGATGAACCTGAGCGGTTAATTCTTTTGCATCAATGGTAAATTTCTGTAAGGGAATTAGAATTATTTCAGTAATAAAAAAGATACAGGGGTTTTTTTTTGTCTGCACGATTAATTCCAATCATCTGAGGTTGACCTCTGTCTTTTACCTGTCTTGCCATGAGTTTCCTTATTTTTGCTGATAGCATTTTTCCAATAGAGATGTCTTTTTTCTTTTCTCCTTTTTTTTCTTTTCTCCTTTTTTTTTCTTTTCTCCTTTTTTTTTTTCTTTCTCCTTTTTTTTTTCTTTTCTCCTTTTTTTTTTTTTTTCCCTTTTTTTTTTCTTTCTCCTTTTTTTTTCTTTTCTCCTTTTTTTCTTTTCTCCGGTATCTGAGGATTATCTGACACTCTCAAGAATTTCCTGGTTTGGGGGTTTTAGGGGGTTTGGGGTTTTTTTTTTTCCCACCTGGCTGAAGCTTATCCATTACATGCCATAGGATAAGAGAGACACTCTTCAGGTAGGGACCAGGGGGTATTTTGGATGGGGATTTAAACTGAGCCTAACCCCTGAAAGCTTAGGCTTAGCGGGTTCCTCATCACAGACTCTTTCTCTGTCCAATATAATAGAAAATAAAAAATGAAAGTCTCTCTGTTACAGTGTTTTCTATCAGAAGTAACTTCCTGTACAGTTATAGAGATGTAAAGGTACTTTATTGTCTGCATAGTAAAACTTGTGCATTTTTGAACAAGTGTGCTGTGGAAAAGATCTCACTCTGTCATGAGAGCTATAAAGTGTTTTCCCACAGTGCATATGTATGATATGCCATGAGAAAGAGCTGACATATATCAAATTAGATAGCAATGTGGAAAAGTTATCGTTCAATGTGATCTCCACAGTGGTCTCTAAACATTCTCCTTATTTCTATGTGTAAAACAGTTCCCTTGAGCCCTTTCAGTTCCCACTGAAGGCTTTGAGAGGTTTTTTTTCATATTCTAGACAAATATTCCTCTCACTCATTTAATCCCCTCCAGCACAGAGCAGTGGCTTTTGGAAGTGTCAATAATTTCCTGTGTCATTCAGTGGCTCTCAAAAGTGCCACTTTGGCAGCTTCATTACTTGCACTGGCTCTTCAGATTGATGTATGAATTTTATTTGAAATTTTTTAGACTTTTTTAATAATAATAAAAAAAAATCTGTAACTGATAAGCTTGGAAGGAAATACAATTTCCTTCCTAAATGACAGAGGTATGCATGGTATAAGGAAAAACCACTGCCATCTACTGGGGTCCCTGTGCCATGGGACCTGAAATCTGCCACTGCAGCTTCCGAATGCAGAAGCACTGGAAAGCATTTGGCTTGAGCTCCCAGAATCTGATGCATTACCTTTACCAGCTTGGAGAAAAAGCACTTAATGCTTTTAAAAGGCTTTTTTTGGACACACATAATCCCCTCCACTGCCAGTGCTTCCATTTCATCAGTAATATCTTGCTCTTCTGCACAGCCTCAACCACCCCAGTCTTGTTGCAATGCTTTCTGCCTTTCTCTTTTTCTGGGATGCAGCACAGGAGCAGCCACACTTTGCCCCTAAAAGCTTCCTAGCCTCATTTTCCAGGACTGAAGAAAGGGAAATAGCATTTAAATGGAGCTTTGAAAAAGCATTGCAGCATTTAGGCTTCTGAAGTTCAATATACCATTTTTCATTACACTTTGAAGCATTCTGCCTTGAAGCTTTTGTCTCAAACTTGGTTCTTTCCTGTGCCTGTGACACTAAGCAAAGCATTAGTGTAATCTTTAACTTGATGTTAGTGCCCATTTCCAGAGAGAAGAGAAAGTTAAATGGCTCTGTAACATCTCTGATGAGGTCTAAGCTCGATTTCTGGAATTTTGATAGAGGGAGAGAATTGGCATTGTCCAAGGGTCACTGTGTATTTCATTAATATCTGATGGAGCAAACATAATGAAAAACTGTATTGCTTGCTGTAAGCAGAACAGATCAAAATTCATTCATGCTCTTATCTTTCTTATCCTGATCTTATTTTTTTCCCCTCATTTTTGTAATAATCAGAGTAAAATGGACACCATCAAGGCTCTATGGCATGCTGCCAATCTTTATTGCCTTGTACTAAATAAATTGTTCCAATGAACTGAGTTTTATGGCAATTCCTTCTCGATTTTCCTATATTTGTATTTTTATTGTAGCTGTTCCCAGACAGAGTGAAACAATGAACAGTTTAAAATGCCTGCTGAATTTTCTGCAATGCAAAGCAGCAAAAGTTTTTGACTGTCTTATTGCCAAGGACAACTGAATTTCTTTGTCTAAATCAATTCTCACAATGCGGTGAACAATTACAGGAGCAGGAGGAAGTCTGGCTGTTGCTTTGGTCCTTCATCTCAAAAGTCTGCACGTCTACCTGTGTAATTTTCCTTGCCATTGAGTTGCTGCAATTGCTGTTGAATTCATCATATGTGAAAATAAAATTTACAAAGGGAATCAATTCTCTCTCTAGCTTCCTTCCACTTCATCTTTCTGTTTATTTGCCAGAAAGATAATAAGCCCTAGCAGCATTAGCACAACACAAACAGAGGGTATTAGGAAATGCCTCCTTGTAATACTGCTGTCATCACCTTAACCTTAAAATTTGATTATATTTTGAAAGAGTCCTCTTTTTTTAAAAGAAGCTTAAAAGAAAGCATATTAAAAAGTTAATATTTCCAGGAAAAATAATCTAAGGAAAAAAATAAGTTAGAAATACCTATCAAATTTCTTCACTTTGATTGATTTATTCAGTGGAAGGGGTAAAGTCTGATTCTCTCTTTTTATTTTATTTTATTTTTGAGAAATACAGGCCCCAAAACCTAATTCATCTGAAGAAGCACTTTTAAAATATCTGCTAATGTTTTATTAAAGAAGGAAATGCACTATTCCTCAGTAATCCTAATACTGTGCAACTGTATTTCATTCTGACCAGCTATGAACCGATCATTTAAACTCACAGTAAGAGTTTTGTTATTATGCAAACATCTAGAAAAGAGTCTATTAGATTCCCAGTTTGATCATCTTTTCATAGATAGTGGAGATGAAAGCACAGTTAAAATTTTCTCTACTTTTTGGTGCCGATAAAACTAAAAGCTGAAATCCCCCCAGCTGGCTGCAACTGCAAGGGCTGAAACAGGGCAACGGGGCAGCTGCCAGACATGGTCCATGTCCACCTGGCCAGGCAGGGGCAACCATGGCCACAAAGCCCCTTCGTAGCCTCTACTTTCCTCCTCTTCTTTCTCTCTCTACCCCCTTCATCCTCCCCTCACCTCCAGAAAGTTCTGCTTTTTGAAATAGTGGAAGGTTTTTACATTTCCCTCCTAAGAACATTTATTCACCCACAAAATTCATAAATGAAACACTCAGTTCTGCTAATGCAATCAGCTACATTAGCAACATATTTATTTTCCATCTTTTCTTTCAGTTATTTTGCCTTTTAATTATCTTTCTTTGTGATTGAAGATAGTCACATTCTAAATTCAATCACCTTGAAGAACAATATGAAATAAAGAAGTTTAATCTTTTATTATAAAAATCTTCTGTGGGATCCAGTGGTGCTGTAATTTCACCATTAATAAATTGCCCTTTTCAGTTGTCTGCTGCTCACCTTTCCTTTTTCCTCTGAACAATAAACTGAAGAAGACTCTTGGTTACAGGATACAAAACATGTACTTTCTGTACCAGAGCTGCACAGCTTTTCCTTCTGCTTTTAAATTTGTCTTTTTTTTGTCCAATCAGTAAAGAATGAGCTGTCATTTTTTGAAAGGTAATCTGAAACAAAGCACTTAAAGTAGCAAAATATCAGCCAGACCTCTTACAGTTTACAGGAGAACCATGCAGAATGGTTCACTTTGGGTCCATATGTGGTGGATAAAAAAATGTCATATTAGTGCTGTGCTGGGCTACTATCTCAATGGCCTATGTCTTTAGCAAGTTATCAGAGGGGTATTTTTTGGCTTGACATCAAAGTGCTCCTCTGTGTCTTTCCTGAATCTTAATGTAGACTATCTTAGATGTAAGTGCTGACCCCAGCGAGGCACTTTGTCGGTGCTGGCCACAGATGGATGTTGAGTTTTGGCCCAGACGGTCTGCTGTCTAACAAAACTTTTATCTAAAGAAGACAAGATGCAGAAATGAAACATGTTCTGCCAGTACCTGGGGATTTTGGGTGCCTGATTTACAGTTTTCTCTTTGTGACACCATGTGACACCATAAACTATATTGGATAACAAAGACATACCCTGTCTTGTTCCAC